TTCACCTCCAGCTTCTCTTGGTGAGTTTGCTTTAAAGGACTTCCCTTCCATGACTCGACCTGTCAATCAACCGCAGAACTGACAGCAGCAGCACAGCTGATATTTCTCTCCAGGATGGAGTCACAGCCAAACAGGAACAGACCAGATGAAGCTACTATGAGAAAAAGCAGATAAAGCGTAAAGGTCAAGATTGAACTAGAAAGTTCTATTGAGTGGGAGAATAGAGATAAAATGAAGCAGAGTGATGAAAAGTGGCCCCTATGTCCTCCAGCAGGCTAACCATATAGCAGCATAACTAGAAATGAGTATATTATTATAGAGATTTATAGATTGTTTTTTCTGTGTAGGATTGATTTGTTCAGCCTTAAATCTTACACTGCAAAAATGATTTAGAAATAAGTCCAAATTTATTAAATTAAGTGTATTTACCCTTAATTTGAGTAGGTAAATAAGATGATTTGCAAATGGAATGAGGATTTTTACGCTTAAAATAACGTAATTAGATAAAATACACTTGAAATAAGAAAATGAAATATTTTTTTCCTGATTTTAAATGTAAATTGTTTGTTCCATTGGCAAAGAACAAATGCACTTATTTTAAGAAAAATTGACTGATCTAGATTTAGATTTTTTCCAGTCCTTCTGTTGAAAAGGAGGATTTTTGGGGACAAACTCAGCATCATTCATTTCTTTACGATTCATTTAGCATTTGATAACTGTTTCAAAAGGAACAATGTTATTATGTTTACAAAGCAGAAATCATGTCAAAAAGGTTTTTTCTGTTTTTAAAAGGAATTCTCCATTTGTGCTTTTTACATCTTAAATTTTCAGTTCTAAAGAAAGAAGGCAGTCAGATTCAACAGTGTGGGTCTAAATAAAAGTGGGATTATTCTGCATATAGTATAAATGTGAACTAAGTGACTTTTCTATTTGGCAGAACTTTAAAGAAACATGTGTAATATGTAGATATAAAAATGACTTAGAAGGAAAGACAGCCCCATATTTTCACAGCAAGAGTTTCCCATGTGTGCACTTTAATTAAGGATTATATAGTACGTCTTCCTGATAGACGTGACCACAGTGTGTTTATAATTAGAAAATACTGGCTGACACGGAAAAAGACCAAACAACAAATGGAATGACTTCAGAAAGAAATAGGGTTATTGTAAGAGTGAAAGTACACTTAATGGCTGGAAAGAAACAGAAGGCTTTACATTCATTGCAGAGTGCCTTTGGACAGATTGCAGTGTGTTTCTCTTAATTTGATTAGCTCTGAATGCTTCCTGTACCTGTAACTTAAAGCCTATCCTTCTTCATGTTTCTTTTTGATGTTGACAGAGAGCTGATCTGGCAGTGGCTCCCCTCGCCATCACATACGTGCGTGAGAAGGTTATCGACTTCTCCAAGCCCTTCATGACGCTGGGTATAAGTATACTGTACCGCAAGCCCAACGGAACCAACCCCGGGGTCTTCTCCTTCCTCAACCCACTCTCGCCTGATATCTGGATGTATATTCTGCTGGCTTACTTGGGTGTCAGTTGTGTGCTGTTTGTCATAGCCAGGTAACATGTCACTTTAAGTGGTTGCAGCTCCACACAGCGTCAGGCGCGTGCATAGCTCCCATCAATGAGCCTCACACATCATAACATTTTAGTGACAGTACTCTGCGACCGTGCTGAAATTATTTTAAATTTTAGGCTGATTGTCATCGCTGCCTCATGTTTTTAATGCTTTTAATGATAAGTTGTTATTCACAAAGACCATGAACTACAGGTAGAACTCCCTGAAGTGTGACTCTTGTCCTGGTACCACAAGAAAAGGTGCCAAAGCTCTTTGACAGGTGCAAATGCCGAGGTCCTGAGTTGGGATGCTCTAGATTTCTCAAGGTTTTACGTGAATGTGTCTGGAAGGGTGTCAGGTAGTGCGTCCATATTGTGTGTGTATATAAGTGTGTAAAAGGTATGGAGCTTGATGTGAATGGCTGCAGCCCCTCTCCTACCTTCCCTCACTGTCCCTGGTGTCCTCATGCTGTCTCTTCCTTTCTCTTCTTTCCTTCACCTCGCTTCAAATGTAGCCACTCTGGCTTTAAAGAGCATTACTGCCTGCCCACCTGTTGTCCTTTAGTTCCCCTTTTAGCTCTGAAGTTCACTTCTATTCAGTTTATTTCTATACCGCCAATTCACAACACACGTCATGTCAAGG